TGCAGACATTGCAGTTAGCAGTCCAGTGCTTATTCTACAGCTCCACACCTGGATTTATATATAAAAGAGAAGTTTATATCAAGGAAATGGCTCACACAGTTGTAGAGGTGGGCAAGTCCATGGATCAGATGAACCAAGATCTGCAGGTGAGAAGGCAGGCAGTTGGATAAGGTGACAAGTGTTTACAACGCCCAGGATTGTCAGGCAATAGAGCAGGCCACTGGCTCAAGTCCAAAGAACCGGAGGTCAGGTGATGAGCCAGGTGCGGATCCAGACAGCAGAAAGCAAGCAAGCTTTGCCTGTATGTCTAACATATTGGAAGCAGGCCACACCCGTGAGGAAACATCCCGTCAATTGATTGGCTGCTTCTGGCAGATCTCATCAAGGTGAGGATGACATTCTATTAGATCTCCTCATGGGGGATCACTCTGTCTTAACTAGTAAACCACTGAGAATCCTGGCCAGTCAAGTTGACACAAAGCCTTAACTACCACAAGGCTTCTAGGTGGGCTTAAACCTTCAACCTTTAGCTGAACATGTTTACCATCTGCACTACTGGGGACTACCCCATAACCTTTCAAACAACAACAGTAAAGCCATTATCATCAAGGCCAACTCATTGCAACACCCCATGTGTTAGAGTAGAATTTACTGTCTTGTGATAAACTGGGACTTTGTCAATACAGAAGTGCACAAAATACGAAAGGTTGATGCTTTGAACCCAGCCAGCAGTGGCTTAGAAGCGGTGTGCTTTCAAAGCTTCATAGCCTTGGGAGCCCTACACAGCACAGTTCTGCTTAGCTCCTAGGGGGAGCCAGACTCCACATCAGCTAAACAACAAATCAGCAAGATACAGGCAGCAGCCTGGCCCTGTTTGAGCCTGTTTTCTTCCACCCCCAGCACCTCAACCTGGAAATGCTAGTGTGGTTACATTAGTACCATTTGGCTTCAGGAGTCAAGTCTGTTACAGACTCCCCTCCCCAAATACTTCCAAACCACAGAAGTGCTTACTGATGTCCCCAAAACATCTTGGCCATGGTCCTATAGCCCAAACCAAGCCCACTGCTGTTGATTCCGACTTCATGACCCTATAGGACAAAGCTGAATGCCTCATAGTTTCCAAGGCTATAATCTTTATGGAAGCAGTCTACCACATCGTTCTCTCTTGGAGCAGCTGGTGGCTTTGAACCACTGACTTTGTGGCTAGCAGCTGAGCATTTAAACACTGTGCCACGAAGTCTCCTGTCCTGCTGTCCTGAGTTTGATTGAACTAAATGGCAGCCAAGCTGAAGGCGGTGTGAGCCACAAAGCACAAAGTCTTTTAATTTCACATGCATTCCCCCCGAACTGCTAGTCAAAATGGGGTTACCAGAGAGGTCTCCTGACACCTCTGTCATCTGGCTGTCTCCCCATGGTACTGATGCTGGCCGATGACCATTTCATGTCCAGTGGACGTGCCCAATTCAGACCTGGTTTCAGGGGCCAAGTAGAAGCCAGTTTGTACCTGGTCCCCCAGCAGTCCCCACCATGCCACTACCTGCTCTTGAAAAGGTTAATTTTCCTCCAAATTACTAAAAACCAAGTGGAAGAGCAAGTGGGATTAAGACAGTGTTTTCAAGATGGGAGAAACTAACAGGAGTTTACAGCGGGGGTGGTTGTCTGCCATCACGTTGGTTCCGACTCATACTAACCCGTGCAGGGTTTCTGAGGCTGGAAATCTTTAAGGAAGCAGAGAGCCTCATCTTTCTTCTGTGGAGTGACAGTAGATTTGAACTGCTAACTCTGTGGTTAGCAACCCAGCTCATAATCCACTGTACTACCAGAGCTGTTTCATGGGTGCTTGTAAGCAGGTGGAAATGGAGTAGGAGAGAGCCGGGAAGACTCGTCAGAGCCCTGTCCTTTAGTAGTTGAAAGGCTGGGCTTCAGTGCACAGGGTGTAGGTGGGCCATGGCAGTTCACCCACAGTTAATGGAGAAGGGCCAGGGGCTGGTTGCTTGAGTAGTTTTTCTCATCAAAATGGGAAGCACTGTTGTCAGTTAATTCCGACTCAGGGACCCTAACAGGATAGTAGAATTGCTTCAGAGGGTTTTTAAGGATGAAATCTTTACTGGAACCGATTGCCAGATCTTTCTCTCATGGAATGGCTGGTGGATTTGAACTACTAATCTTTCAGTTAGCAGCCAAGCGCTTAACCACTGCCACCAGGGCTCCCTGAGGAGAGAGAAATGCCAAAACCATGGCCGTGGCATCAAATTCAACTCTAGGAGAGCGTAGAACTGCTCCTTAGGGGGTTCCAACGCTGCAGATGTTTTACAGGAGCAGACAACCTCATCTTTCTCCCATGGATTGACTGGTGAGTTTGAACTGTTTGTTTTGTGGTTAGTAGCCCAACACTTAACCCACTGTGCCACCAGGACTGCATTTGAGAGGAGACAAGAGGGTCTGAAATACTTGTCTAGGACCCTGGGAGAGTGCGTGGGCCAGAGAAAGAGTAGTAGTGCCCAGCCACACTGAGCGCCTGCTTGAGGTTTGTGATCATAAATGTAAAAGCAGGATCCGAGAGGTCATGTGACTCCAGGTACATCCCAGTGCAGGGCAGTACAGGCACAGAGGAGGCAGACACAGCCAGGTGACTGCAACCCAAAAGAGTTGAGAGGGTTTGCAAGAAGGGTGGTGAGGGACAGTGGAAAGGAAGTGGCAGCAGGCAGCTGGTGGTCCTGTAGGCACTGAAGCACCACCGGAGTCGGCGATCTTGAAGAGGTTCAGTACTTGAGGTCCCTTGGGGCCTCTCTCCCTTCCACCTTTGCGGTGCTAGGTCTTCTACACAGATGCTAGCTCCTTTCCTGCTTTGTGTGCTTCAGGGAGGGAAGAAGTTGGAAAGGTGATCACACCCTTTTTAGAGAGATCTTAGGTAAATTTCATCCCCACTTTCAGTGTTCAAGGAAAGCACACCGCTGCCACCACCTCACCCACAAGAGATGGGGAAGGAAATGGATCACACTTGAGTCTGGGGCCTCCAGCACTGTAGACTCCACACAACTTGGATAAGCTGTGCTTACGTTTAGGGTGCCCACTCAGCTGTGACCACCTCTGGTCCAGGAGTCATGGCTGTGACTTCACTTGTCCAGGAGCTAAATCCTTCCAGCACTGGGTGGGGCTTCTCCCTCCTGGTGTTGCCCCCATGTCTCTTCCTCAGCTTATCCGCTGACCTTGGCTTCTCCGACTGCCTGCTGGAGACTATCATCTCCTGGTCTCAGAGTGGCATATGCTGTCCACTCCCCTCCCACCCCAGCCCCAGCCCCAGCACTGATGGACTTCTGATAAGATCCAAGGTCATGTTCTGGGTACTGATAGTCACCAAGCCAAGAAGTGCAGCTTCCTGATGCCTCTCCCTGAAGTCAAGCCCCACCCCCACCCCCAGTCCTCCCATGCTTACCCTCCAACCAGGAGATTGGCACGGGGTCATACAGGGGATGCCAGCAAAATGGGGTTGTGAGCAGAAAGTGGGCAGCCTGTGAAATCACACAGTCATGTGGTCCAACACAGTCCAATTCTTCAGATATTTTCAAGTCAGTCAATGGATTGCAGCCTGGCTGGACAGTGTTCCAAAGCGGATGGCCATGGCAGGTGGGAGGAATCCTGAGGACCTTCTCAGCCCTGCCCAGCGCTCAGTAATGAGATCTCAAAGAGGTTTAGTACTAGGAGGTTCCTTGGGGTCTCTTTCCCTTTCCACCTTTGCCCATGCTAGGTCCTCAACACATGCCAGCTCCTTTCCTGCTCTATGTTCTGAATGCCTTCTCGTCTTTGGAAGAGCCTCTCAAATGTCCCCTAGACAGAATTCCTCATTTCCCTCACTGACAGCATGCTAGTCTTTGACTATAGGACTTGGTTGAACTCAAAGTCTATCTTTCTCTCTTTAGTTCCTGGGCACCTTTTCTTCCCCTGTGTCCCACATAGATTTGGCATAGAGCTAAATGAATGGACGATGCTTCCACGTATAAGAAGTGAATAAATGAATAGATGAGTGGGTGGATTCATGAGTGAATAGATAGATGTATGTATATAAGATGGATAGGTGGGTGGGTGGGTGGAGGGATGGATATGAAGGAAGGAAGGTGAGTGGGTAGATGGTTGGTGGGCACATTGATGGGTGCGTGGATGAATGGTTAAATGAATGGATGAATTCCACAAAAGTCCAGGGGATGGAGAAGGAAGTTGCCTACCAAAGAAGTATGGGTTTCTCCCTCTGTCTTCTGTAACAGCTTCCCTTTCTAAGACTTCTACCATAAGCGAAACCCCCTTCAGGATTGTTGTTATTAAGTGCCATCAAGTCAATTCCAACTCATAGCGACCCTGTATAGGGTTTCTAAGGAGCAGCTGGTGAGTCTGAACCAATAGATAACAAAAAATTCACCTGGGTCCGCCTTTTTCCTTTAGCTCTGGGTTTTGAGTTTTAGGGTGTCAGATGAAGGAGGGATGACTAAAATCTGTGCTCCCACTATATGGCAAACACTGGAATAGACATTTTTGCAGGTCCTTTGTTTAATAACATCACGATAGTTTTTGGAAGTAGATTCTATTAACCTCATTTCACAACTAAGAAAATAAGACAATACCCTATTACATCCAGCAAGGATAGTATTAGGCAGGCGGGGCCAGTGAAATGACACCAAGGACAAAGGAAGTGATGTCAGGCAGAGGCTGAGCCCTGTTCTAGACACAGGAGCTCTGAGTTCCAGGTGAGACCCTCTGGGCCTCAGTGTCCCCGTGTGGATGTGATGTGCTAGAAAGTCCTTTCCAGGTGATGATGTGGGAACTGAGGCTGATGTGAACAATCATTGCCCTCACATACAGTGGCTTCCAGCTTCAGGATGCTTCCTACTCTCTGCTGGGCAGGGCCAAAGGGCAGTGCCGCCCATGAGGTAATGGTTAACGAACTTGATACCGCATCTATAAGGAGTGCTAACCAGGGCCACCCCAGCTGGCCCAAACGCCATAGGATGAAGTGGACCAAGTGGCTGGGGGTGGGGGTGGGGGCTGTTGCTCTCTTGGGTCTGGGGATCATCCTGGGCCACTTTGCTATCCCCAAAGGGACCGACCCACCAGCCCACCAGGACCTGGATATGGAGGTCCTGAACACCGTCATGGGACAACTGGAGGCCAGCAGGATCCGGGAGAACTTGAGGTAAGAAGCTTGTCGGCGCCTGTCCTGTTTACCCAGAGGCCCCTCCCTGACGCTGCCCCTGCCCCTCCCCCTGCCACCTGCAGAGAACTTGCCAGAGAGCCCCACCTGGCCACCAGCCCCCAGGATGAGGAGCTGGTGCAATTGCTGCTGCAGCGCTGGAGGGACCCTGCGTCTGGCCTGGATGCGGCCGAGGTCTCCACATACGAGGTGCTGCTGTCCTTCCCCAGCCCGGGGAAGCCCAACCGCGTGACTGTGGGTAAGGTCCCGCCCAGGTATGAGACTGCCTGTGGGGAGTGGGAACTGCTCGGCCACCCCTGACACTGCACCCCTCCATAGTGAGCCCCACTGGAAACATCCTCTTCTCCTGCCGCCAGACAGAGGAGAATCTGACTGGGGAACAAGGAGGTCCTGATGTGGTGCCACCCTATGCTGCCTATGCTCCCCCTGGGACCCCGCAGGTGAGCTGGGATGCACTTTCCTCTCTGTCCCCCTCTTCCCAGCCCCCACTCTGCCCCAGTGACAGCAAGGACAAGTTCCCCCACAGGGCTCAGCATTCAGAATGAGTCACCTCTGCATTTCCTTACCATTCCTTTCCTCCATCACTTAGTCATTCAACAAACCCTAAAGGCTCTTGCCCAAGGTCAGGTCTGATATGGGCACCTGGACACAGAAGAAATCCAGCTGGACTCTGGGATCAAACAGAATCTGAATCCTACCACCTATAATCCTACCACTCAGCCCTCCCTCTCCTCTCCCTCTCCTGCCCTTCCCTGGACCCCATTCTGAGGATCACCTCCCCTTTGACCTAGGGCCTCCTGGTCTATGCCAACCGGGGCACAGAAGATGATTTTAGGGCGCTACAGTCTCAGGGCATCAATCTCAATGGCACCATTGCCCTGACCCGCTATGGAGGTGCTGGGCGTGGGGCCAAGGTAAGCACCAGCCCCTAATGCAGGGGGCCTGGGCTGGGGAGAGGGGCTGACCATGGAGGGGAAGGGACGAATTGAACTGAATGCTGCACCTTGGGCTGGTGGGGCAGGGAGTAGGCATGTACAGAAAAGCTGAACTCCAAGTCCCTGGATGGTGTAAACAGTTAAGCACTTGACTACTAATAGAAAGGTTGGTGGTTCAAGTTCTCCCAGAGGCATTGTGGGAGAAATGCCTGGAGATCTGGAAAATAGCCGCTGGAAGCAGGTCCACTCACACACGATACAGATACACTCCCTGACACTCACTGTGAGTTAGAGCCAACTGGATGGCAGCTGGTGTGCATGTTGTACCATGACTTGCTCTGTGACCTTGGTTGCCTTCCCTAACCTCTCTGAGCTTTCCAAAATAAAGGGCTTGGGTTAAGTCTTCCTTCCAAGACATTCTTTTGAATATTCAAATTAAATCCTTCATCTTGTCCCCTCCGCTTTTTTTGTTTTTGTTTATTTTTCAATTAAAATTTTGGACTAGGTATTACAAGGAGCTCTAGCGTAGTGGTTACGAATCGGGCTGCGAGCCGCAAGGTCAGCAGTTCGAAATTACCAGCAGCTCCACGGGAGAAAGATGAGGTGGTCTGCTCCCATAAAGATTTACAGCCTCGGAAACCCTGTGTAGGGTCGCTATGAGTCGGAACCGACTCCATGGCACATAACAACAACAACATTACATGTCTATGGTACTGTAGTGGTTAGGAGTCAGTCTGCTAACCTCAAAGTCAGCCATTTGAAACTACCAGCCATGCCGTGAGAGAAAGATGAGGCTTTCTGCTCCCATAAAGATTTACAGCCTCAGAAACCCTATGCAGTCGTAACTGACTACACAGTACACCCCCACCACCACCACCGTAGGATTTCTGTTGTGGTGCTGTGGATTAATGCTCTGGACTGCAAAGTTAGTATGAATCACAAGGTTGGTGGTTCGAGCTTATCAGCTGCTCCTTGGAAGCCCAAATCAGGGTCACTATGGGTTGGAACCAATTCGACAGCACTTAACAACAACAATATAGGGCTTCTGAGAATGACTGGTGGGTTTGAACTACCAATCCTGCAGTTACTAGTCCAATGTTTATCCAGACTCTGACTTATAAGGAACCCATATCTCCACATGGCACAGCATTTATCCTATCTCATCTCTGCTTGCTTGCTTAATCTCTTATAGCTCAAAGAGACTGACTCAAAATATACCTTAGGGTTTATACCACATAATTCAATCCATAACATTCCACTTTGTGGCCCCCTAAATTTCATGTCCTTGCCACATGCAAAAAATGCATCCTATTACACCATCCCCAAAGTCTTCATTAACATCAGGTCTGAATCATCGAAATCAAATATGGATGCGACTTTAAGCCTATCCCATCCTGGGGCAAAATATCTGTTCATCTATGCATCTGTGGGAAAGTTATAGTAAAAAAATCTTCCTCTAGCCACACTGTTCAAGAAGATGACCACTTTTATTACTTGATGACAATGACCCAGTTTTCTTATGGGAGAAGTATCTGGGAACATATATTCTTATTTCCTGCCCCCTTTGATATAAGGGTCATGCTTTTTTACCCTAATGAATCCTGGTGATCATTCTGGATCAGTGGTACATACACTAAGTTCTTGTCTTTATGCAGATGTGGCTGGTCAATTTACCCAGAATTGCTGGCACATATCTGGCTGTTTCCAGTCTTTGTGTTACAGGCAATATTTGCCTAATGCAAACCCCAGCTTGCCTGGGGCAATAGCTCTGTCCCTAGGAGGAAGAAACAGGTGTAGGAAGTCCTTCGATGCTTAGCCTCCTCTGCCCCCTGCAGGCCCTGAATGCCGCCAAGCACGGGGTGACTGGAGTGCTGGTGTACACCGACCCAGCTGACATCAACGATGGCCAGAGCTTACCCAACGAGACTTTTCCCTATTCATGGGGCCTGCCTCCCTCGGGGGTGGAGCGGGGCTCCTACTATGAGTATTTTGGGGATTCCCTGACTCCTTACCTTCCTGCCAAGCACTCCTCTTTCCGCCTGGACCCTGCCACTGTCTCTGGATTTCCCCCAATTCCCACCCAGCCCATTGGCTTTGAGGACGCAAAATCGCTGCTCTGGTGAGCTTGTACCCTGGCATCCCCTCTAACTCCCAGATTCCCCCAATTTTAACCCCACACCCACTCCGAAGTCTCCCCTGCTCTCCAGTAACCTCCAGGGAACTCTGGCACCAACAGCCTGGCAGGGAGCCCTGGGATGTGACTACAGACTGGGGCCTGGCTTCCGGCCTGATGGGCATTTTCAAGCCAACAGGTGAGTGGGACCCACTTCTCCAGCTGGTCCTCTCCTCTTCTTGTTTATCCCTCTTCCCACTTTGTGGCCTGGCTTTCCATTTCACTTCTCTCCTCTCCCCACTCCAAAACATCTGCCAGTGAAACAGATGCGGAGGCCACAAGGCCTCATGAAACCCCTCCCGCTCTTCCCCACATCATCGCGGACCCCTACACTTTCCTGCCAGCCATGCCCCTCTGCAGTTGCTGTTCCTGCACCGCACCTGGAAACACCCTTCCCCATGACCACTGTGGTTTGTCTAGCCATCTGGGCCACCCCTCCTGTGTGGCCAGGGTCTGCTCCTACACACATCAACTTGTTAAGACCCTCAGCCCTTTTCTCCTCTTCTTCACTTCCTCGATGACCCGGTCCGAAGCTGTCTTATTCTTTGCCTAGAACAAGGGTATGACGTGGGGATGTTGTTGTTGCTATTGTTAAGTGCCATGGAATCAGTTCTGACCCATAGAGACCCTGTATAGGGTTTCTGAGGAGAGGCTAGTGAGTTTGAACCACCTACCTTGCAGTTCAAGGAGCTCTGGTAGCGTAGTGGTTATGAATCGGGCTGCAAACCTTAAGGCCAGCAGTTCAAAACTATCAGCCGCTCCGCGAGAGAAAGATGAGGCGTTCTGCTCCTGTAAAGATTTACAGCCTCGGAAACCCTATACAGGGTCGCTATGGGTCGGAACCGACTCAACGGCACTTAACAACAACAACAACCTTGTAGTTCAGGTGGACTTTGCACTCCAGCGCATTAACCTGCAGCGCCACACCAGGACTCCATGGGCATACACTAATTGTCCAATAAGTATGTACTAAGTAAGGAGCTCTGGTAGTGTAGTGGTTACGAATCGGGCTGCGAACTGCAAGGTGAGCAGTTAGAAACTACCAGCCGTTCCGCGGGAGAAAGATGAAGTTTTCTGCTCTCGTGTAAAGATTTACAACCTTGGAAACCCTGTACAGGGTCGCTATGAGTCGGAACCGACTCCACAGCACATAACAACAAGTGAGTGAGTGAGTGACTGAAGAGAGTTGGAACCAGAAGCTCCCAGCACTAACTGTCTGCAACTCCTTCCCTACTTGGGCCTGTTTTTTTTCTGGATTGGGGGAGGAATGGTGCAGGGTCACAACCCTGATCTGCCCTCCACTTCCCCAGCCAGGTGAACGTGAGTGTGTACAACCGCCTGGAGCTGCGGAACTCCTCCAATGTCTTGGGGATCATCCGCGGGTCTGTGGAGCCTGGTGAGCACCACCACACTGCTCATGCGCCCCGGACTGTCTTGAAACCCTCCACCAATCCTCATTCTGTCCCGATGCTCTGACCCTCCGCTTTTCCTTCCCGCCAGACCGTTATGTGATGTATGGGAACCACCGCGACAGCTGGGTGCATGGGGCTGTGGACCCCAGCAGCGGCACCGCTGTCCTCCTGGAGCTCTCCCGCGTCCTGGGGACCCTGCTGAAGAAGGGTGAGCCCCTCCTGCCATGCAAGGCCTTTGGTTGATTCCAAACCAGCCCTTCCTGACCCGGCCTCCTCCTCTCAGTCCTCAAGACCTACTTGTGTCAAGTCCCACGGGGCCTGAGGGCAGAGAGGGTTGGGGCGCTAGCCTGGGTGGGATTGAGTCTCGGAGCTAGTTCTGGGTGCCTGGGTCTCCAAAGTAGTGTAAGGCTTCAGCTGGGGACAACAACTCAACAAATATTGGCACGTGCACACCAGTTTGTGCCAGGCCAGTTCCAGGCACCGGAGAAGCCCTCGTGGACACTCCAGAGTCCCTGCATGTAATGACAATTGTGATGTGTGCTGTAATAAAAACACATCCAAGGTGCTAGTGTGAAGATAGCAATTGCTTGTGTGCTTGAGGAGATGTTCTGGGTGTGGGCAGGAGGTGCAGCTGGTAGGAGGCCCTGACCAGGAGCAGGCAGGACCAGAAATTTGGAGTTTGCCCTGAGGGCAATGGAAAGAAAGCCACTTATATTTGTTTTCTATTGCTACTATAATAAATTGCCACAAGTTTAGAGTCTTCAAACAAAAATTTATTATCTTATAGCTCTTGAGGTTAGAAGTCCAGTTTGGTCTTGCTGAGCTAAAACCAAGGTGTCAGCTATGTCTGGAAACTCTGGGGAGAATCTGTTTCCTTGATTTTTCCAGCTTCCAGAAACCACCCACATTCCTTGGCCCCTGGCCCCTTCTGTCATCTTGTGAGCCAGCACTGTTGCATCTCTGTGCCTTTCTTCTGTAATCACAGTCACCTCTGACTGAGGCTGCTCTTCAGCCTCCCTCTTTCACATAATTCCTCTAGGAGTGTCACTGTAGGATAAATAGTAGACTACTAACCATAAGGTCGGTAGTTCAAACCCACCAGCTGCTCCTCAGAAACCCTCTATAAAGTGTTCAAGATGTCAGTCTGAGAACTTAGATGCACCTGACCCAGGCCATTGTTTTCAATAGCCTCATATGGCATCAGGATTGGAGGAAGACTCATTAACAACCTGCAATATGCAGATGATACAACCTTGATTGCTGAAAGTGAAGAGGACTTGAAACATTTACTGATGAAGATCAAAGAGCGCAGTGTTCGATATGGATTACATCTCAATGTCAAGAAAACAAAAATCCTCACCACTGGACCAATAAACAACATTCTTATCAATGGAGAAAAGATTGAAGTTGTCAAGGACTTCATTCTTCTTGGATCAACTATCAACACTCGCGGAAGCAACAGTCAAGAGATCAGACGACGTATTGCACTGGGCAAATCTGCTGCACAGGAACCTTTTAAAGTATTGAAGAGCAAAGATGTCAGCTTGAGGACTAAGGTGCACCTGACCCAGGCCATTGTGTTTTCAATAGCCTCATATGGATGCGAAAGCTGGACAGTGAATAAGGAAGACCGTAGAAGAATTGATGCCTTTGAGTTGTGGTGTTGGAGGAGAATATTGAAAGTGCCATGGACTGTCAAAAGAACCAATAGATATGTTTTGGAGGAAGTGCAGCCAGAGTGCTCCTTGGAGGCCAGGATGGCTAAGCTTCGTCTTTCCTACTTTGGACATATTGTCCGGAGGAAACAGTCGTTGGAAAAGGATGTCATGCTGGGTAAGATTGAGGGTCAGAGAAAAAGAGGAAGACCCCCAATGATATGGATCAGCCAGGTGGCATCATTGATGGACTCAAGTGTGGCAGCGGTAGTGAGGTTGGCCCAGGATCGGACATTGTTTCGTTCTGTTGTGCATGGGGTCACTATGAGTCGGTTCCGACTCGATGGCACCTGACAACAACAACAACAACAACCCCAAGCCATGGTATTTTCAATTGCCTCAAATGTATGTGAAGGTTGGACAATGAATAAGGAAGACAGTAGAACTGATGCATTTGAGTTATGGTGTTGGAGAAGAGTATTAAAAGTTCCATGGGCTGCCAGAAGAACAAACTGTCTTGAAGAAGTAAAACCAGAATGGTCCTTAGAAGCCGGAACGGTGAGATTTAGTCTCTCATACTTCAGACATGTTATCAAGAGGAACCAATCCCTACAGAAGGAGATCATGCTTGGTAAAGTTGAGTGTCACCTAACAACAATTACTTTAGGGAGTCCTGGTGGTGTAGTAGCTAAGTGCTTGGCGGTTAACTGAAAGGTCAGTGGTTCCAACTCACCAGCCACTCCATGGGAAAACCATGTTGTGGCAGTCTCCTTCCCTAAAGATTGTTGTTAGGTGCCGTCGAGTCTGTTCCAAGTCATAGCGACCCCGTATAGTATTTCCAAGGAGTGGCTGGTGAGTTGGAACCACTGACCTCATGGTTCAAACCGACCGTGTGGTCCGGTGCTTTATCCCACAGCACCACAAATGTTCTTTGTAGCCGTAGAAACAACGTTGGTCCAGGATCCAATCTAGGGTCCCACGTTGCCTGTCTTGGCAGTCTGCTTCCATCTCTAAGAGCTCTTTCATTGTTTTCTTCCTCAGTCCTGACGTTATTTTGTACAACGTCCCTCAATTTCAGTCTGTGTGGGGTTTTCAGGATTAGATTCAGGTGATGCATCTTTGGCAGGACTAAGTGTAGGAATTTGCAATTGTGAGTATGTTAACAATTTAATCCTTTAAATAAAAAAAAAAATTGAAAATGAAAGAATGAGTAATGGTTAAGAGGACTGAGTTGCAGCCAGAGGTGGGAGGGAAGCCAGTAAGGAGCCCCGGGGGGCCATGGAGCACAAGGGTGGAGTCTGGAGAAGGTGGGAACAGCTGTATCCAGCTGTTGAGGGAGAAAGCCATGACTCACTGGGGCCTCCTGGAGGTGGCTGGTGACTGTGCTGAGAACAATGTCAGCACAGAGCCTGGCGATGGGGGCCAGGCTGTCCCATGTTATGAGGCAGTGTGCTTAGATCTGGGGACACTAGAGACAGGCACCTGGATGTGAAGCCTGGCTGTGCTGTTCACCAGCTGTGGAACACTGCGTGCGTTATGAACTTGGCCCATTTCCTCACATGGAGACAAGGATAGTACCTCCCTTGAGGGTTGCTGTGAGGACTGACTTAATGCAGGTATATTATGGTTATTATCACCTGGTGAAGGCTCTGGGCCAGATTTGCCCAGGCTGCATATAGGGCAGTTGGAGTGGAGAGTCAGAGGGGAGAGAGAGAGAGAAGTGGTAGGCATTCTGTAGAAAGAACCACCTGGCCAAGGGAGGCTAGTGTTGGTGGTAGCCTTGTATGTGTGTGTGTGTGTGTGTGTGTGTGTGTGTGTGTGTGTGGTCACAGCAGAGGGAGGATGGAAAAAGGAAGAGGAGTGTTGGTTCCATTACTGGTTGTTCTGTCTCTCATCACCACATTCCCATCCCCCCAAAGGTCTCCAATCTCTACTCCCCTCTAGGCACCTGGCGTCCTCGCAGATCAATTGTGTTTGCCAGCTGGGGGGCCAAGGAGTTCGGGCTCATAGGTTCCACTGAATTCACAGAGGTGTGGGGGCCCTAGGGGGGTTGTGGGACAGGGAGCCCAGGCTGACGGGGCCCTAGGGGGGTTGTGGGACAGGGAGCCCAGGCTGACGGGGCCCTAGGGGTGTTGTGGGACAGGGAGCCCAGGCTGACAGGGCGGTGGATCTCCTCTACAGGAATTCTTCAGCAAGCTGCAGGAACGCGCTGTGGCCTACATCAATGTGGACATTGCGGTCTTTGGTGTGGGGGCTTAGGCTAACTCTTAGGGTGGGGTGGGTGGGTTGCAAAGAGGGGGCTGACTCTGAGTAGTCTTTCTCTGTATTTCCTGCAGCCAATGCTACCCTGAGGGCACAGGGGACACCTCCAGTCCAGAGTGTCATCTTCTCTTCAGCAAAACAGGTGGAAAGGGGCGGGGCTAAGGGGAGCTGGGTAGGTGGGCTAGACTGCACCCACTCCTCACTTACTGACTTGGTTAGGTTCCAAAGTGATGCTGTACAATCAGCACAGGGCAGTTAGCCCAAGGTCAGCTGTTCAAACCCACCAGCCATTCCTTGGAAACCCTATATAGAGTCACTATGAGTTGGAGACGACTTGACAGCACTTAATAAGTTTCCAAAAAAAAAAAAAAATTATGAGAAGACAGATGATGACCACAGGATGGAGAAAGATTTCATCATGATACAAGTGCCAAACTGCTGAGGATAATGGTCCAGCCTCACAGACACGTCACCCCAGCCACCACTGTTACCCTCACCTGGCTGCTCCTCAGAGTTTGTTACTGCCAGACATTTGTCATTAACACACAAAGGAGTCAGATTTTTACTATTGTTGTGAATGAGACAGTAGGTGCAGTATGGTGCCCTGGTGGTACAGTAGTTAAGAACTTGGCTGCTAACCAAAAGGTCAGTGATTCCAACCCTCCAGCCGCTCTTCAGGAGAAAGATGGGGCAGTCTACTTCCTTACAGATTTACCACCTTAGAAGCCCTATGGGACATTTCTCCTGTGCCCTGTGAGGGTGCTGAGTCAGAACCAACTTTACAGCAATAAGTTTGTGTTTGGAGTGAGGGTGGACTGGAGTGGAGTGGGCCTTGTAGTTGGGGCTGAGGCAGGGCCCATGGGCTCCCACTGAGGCAGCTTTCTGCTCCTGCCAGGTCCCTGCCCCAGGTCCCAGAGGCCTCAGTATCTATGACAACTGGATCCGGTACTTCAATCGAAGCAGCTCTGTATATGGCCTGATCCCCAGGTGAGCCAGGGGCCAGAAGGAGGCTATGGGTGGGCTGCCAGCCCTCATGTTTATCTAGTATCCTCCAACCTGGCCTTCTTCCTTTCTAAAGCCTTGGCTCCCTGGGAGCTGGCAGTGACTACGCACCCTTCCTTCACTTTCTGGGCATCTCCTCCATGGACATTGCCTACACCTATGATCGGGTAAGCGGGCACCCTGTTCCCACTTTGGTACCATGCTCCATGAGCCCTAGAGTCTGACTATCATTCAGTGTGTGAACCAAGTTTTGTAACCTCTTTGACCATATTTGTTGTTAACTGCCGTAGAGTCGATTCTGAACCATAGCGACCCTGTAAAGGGTTTCAAAGGAGCAGCTGGTGAGCTTGAACCACCAACCTTGCAGTTCAAACGACTTTGCAGTCTGAAGCATTAGCCCACAGTGCCACATTATTGTTGTTAGGTGCCATTGAGTTGGTACCAACTCATAGCGACCCTATGCACAACAGAATGAAACACTGCCCAGTCCTGGGCCGACCTCATAATTGTTGCCATGCTTGAGCCCATTGATGCTGCCACTTTACCAATCCATCTCGTTGGGGGTCTTCCTCTTTTTCTCTTACCCTACACCTAACCAAACATGATATCCTTCTCCAGCGACTGGTCCCTTCTGACAATATGTCCGAAATATGAGAGACAAGTTTGGCCATCCTGGCCTCCAAGGAACACTCTGGATGCACGTCTTCCAACACAGATCTGTTGGTTCTTTTGGCAGCCCATGGCACTTTCAATATTCTCCTCCAACACCGTAACTCAAAAGCATCATTTCTTCTATGATCTTCCTTATTCACTGTCCAGCTTTCGCATGTATATGAGGTTATTGATAATACCATGGCTTGGATCAGGCGCACCTTAGTCCTCAAGCTGACAGCTTTGCTCTTCAACACTTTAAAAAGTTCCTGTGCAGCAGATTTGCCTGATGTAATACGGCGTTTGATTCTTGACTGCTGCTTCCATGAGTGTTGATAGTTGATCCACATTAGGCCTATCTATATTATTTTATCAAATTTAGCTACACCGTTATTTTGTACACTATTCTGAAAAAAGAAAAAAAGCTGCCGGTGACTTGTAGAGTATCACTGACTGTAAGAAGATACTGTTTTCCGAGATCTTTCCAGGGGAAAATGTGCATCTCAGAATTGCAGAAATACCATTGAAGACCACGAGGATTTACAGCTCTGGAGGGTGCAGGGGGAATGAGAAGGGAGGCAGAGGCCAGTTTACATCTCCCTTTTCGGACTCTCTCACCCTCCCCACCCACAAAACTCCTGGTGTGGACCTAGGATTTGAACTCCCTTAGCTGACTCCAAAACACAGGCTCTTTTCCTTCATGTGAAACTGGCACCTAGGTCAGCTCTGCCCCTTGTTAGCTTAGTGATGTCAAACAGGTTATTTAACCTCTCTGGGCCTCTGTTTCCATCTCTGTGAAGTGGCAATCCCAGAAGCTATCTCTTGGACATGCAAGGATTTCACTGAATGCCCAACTGTACACTGTAGCATCTTCCACTTCCCATCCCAAGCACTTGCTTTCTCGGCCTTGTTCCTCTAGAGCAAAACCTCAGCCCGGATCTACCCCACCTATCACACAGCTTTCGATACGTTCGGTTACGTGGACAAGTTTCTGGACCCTGGTAAGGAAGGGGGCTGAGGAGTGGGCTTCCTGGGGCTGAGGAGTGTGTGTCGAGCCCTGGCCTTGTTGCTGTCCCTGCAGGTTTCAGCAGCCACCAGGCTGTGGCCCAGACAGCAGGGAACGTGCTGCTTCGCCTCAGTGACAGCCTCTTCCTGCCCCTCAACGTCAGTGACTACAGTGAGACCCTCCGCACCTTCCTGCAGGCTGCCCAAAAGGACCTTGGGACCCTGTTGGAGCAACACAGCATTAGCCTGGGTATGGAGCCTCCTTACAGGAAGTCGTGGTGGGAGAGGGGGAACGTGTGCATCCCAGGCCTAAATTTCCAGCTCTTCCCTGCAGGCCCCCTGGTGAATGCAGTGCAGAAATTTGAGGATGCTTCAGCAGCCTTGAACCAAAGAATGTTGGCGCTGCAAAAAGGCAACCCCGAGTGAGCAAAGGCAGAGAGTGGGGGTCCAGGAGGGGGTTGTTGTCTAGGGCTTCTGGCTCCAGAGTGACTGGCAGGACCCACCTGCTCTAGCCCCCTGCAGGTCCGGATGCTTAATGACCAGCTGATGCTCTTAGAAAGAAGCTTCCTGAACCCTCGTGCCTTCCCAGAGGAACGCTACTACAAGTGAGCCTGTGGCAGACCCCCTGGGAAGGTCTGGGTGGGACAGAGAATGGCACACAGGAGTCAGATACGGGAGGGGATGGAGTACTTCAGAAATGCTCTGGCCTTGGGAGCTTGCTCAACTTTTTGGGACAATTGGTGGCTCTGTGAGGGGCTAGAAGGCAAACCCTAAGGTCTCCCCATGAGCTGGGACTAACAGCTCCCACTTCCACCAAAAGACCCAGCTTTCAGACCAGGGCTTTTAACTGGCTCATTTCAGTTCCACTTCCTGCTGAGAGCGCTTTTTCCACCCCTGATCGACTGAATCAGAATCTGGAAGAATCACCTGAGGATCTGGTTTAAGTGTAGATTCTGATTCCGTTTATGTGGGGCGTCGAACTGATGTGAATGATTCTAAGCCTTGTGTACCAGGGGGGCTAGGGAGCTGGTAGGGTGGAATCCATTCCAGGCAAAGCTATCCTTTTCCTGGCCCTGATCCTTCCCATTTCTCCTGTCAGCCACGTGCTCTGGGCGCCCCGCACAGGAAGCGTCGCCACATTCCCGGGCCTGGCCAATGCCTGCTCCAAGGCCATGGCCACAGCCCCTGGATCTACAGCCTGGGCTGAGGTGGCGAGGCAGTTCAGCATCGTGGTGGCAGCTTTGGAAGGCGCAGCTGCCACCCTGAGGCCTGTGGGGGATCTCTGACCCCAGTCCCCTTTCTTCAGCTCCCCACTACTACCCTTTGTCCTAGCCCTGCCACTCCCCCTTCCTAGGGTGTGTCTGGGTCTTCAGGAAGAAGGTATTACCACAGGTCCTTCACCAGCCTTTGAGACAGCCGCTTGGAGTCTCCCCAGTGGTGGAGATCAAGGAGAATGAGAGACAAGTCCCGGCTGAAAATCTCCTTCATCCTGGCTCTTGGTTAGCAGAGTGAGGGCAGGAGACTGGGAAGGTGATGAAAAGTGGTACCACCACCACCCACCACCAGGTAGTGGGTGAAGTGGGACACTTGATGCCAACCCAGAGGGGAAACTGAGGCCCATGGTGATAGGAACTTGCCCAGACTGGGTTCCTTCCCTCATACCCTTAACATGTCTCAACCTTTTCCTGATTCCTCCAAATAAACCAAGTCTAGCTACTGGCCCTTAAACAAATCCCTTTTATTACCTGAAATCCTAATGGCTCTGCCTAGTCCTGGGGCTCTGGGGACTCATGGCACTGGGGACGTGGGTCTGTCTGTAACCTTATCTTCCTCTTCTGCCATGATCACGTCTTCTAGGGTGCGACCTCGAAGTTTGCTGTCCACCAGCAGGTGGCAGGACCCTGCATGTGGCTGCCCTTCTTCCTTGTACCGACCCCTCAGGAACACAACTCCCTCCTCCCCGTCTAAGGGCAGCCCATGTGCCTGGCACAGGTCCCGGGCCTCGTCGGCTCCATCCAGGGCCAACAGGTGGACCATGAAGCCCAGGGGCAGGGTCTGGCCCTTGGGGGTGCTAAGGGCACGAGCGAGGCGGGTCAGGGCTCTGCGTCGGGCTTGGGCCATGTGACCATGCACAGCACAGCTCGGCAAGTAGGTCAGGGTCCGGAGCAGACGAAACAGACGGGCAGTGTTGCCCTCCCGAAAGGCAGCATCGATGGCCAGGGCTGTGCGAAGGGGCGGACAGGCGCGCAAAGTGGCGGGCAGTTGCAGAACCTCGTGCAGGGCCTCCAGGGAGCCTGGGAAGGCAGAAGCCACAATAAGGACACCAGGACCTTCCTGAATCACACCCACCTTCTACACCCTCAAACCGTCAGTCACACCCACATCCTCTGACCATTTCCCCTTGCCTAGGCAAAGCCGATTTTCCCTTCTCTAAAAGGCTAAATTCAGTATCAGCCTCTTCCCAGTCCAGATTCTTATGGATGGCAGAGGTTGTGATTGGTTGGTTGGTTATGTGCCGTGGAGTTGGTTCCGATTCATAGCGACCCTGTACAGGGTTTCTGAGGCTGTAAATCTTTACGGGAGCAGAAAGCCTCATCTTTCTCCTGCAGAAGAGCTGGTAGTTTCGAACTGCTGACCTTGCGAATCACAGCCCCATTCGTAACCACTAAGCTATCAGAACTGGCAGAGGTTATTGCTGTTGTGAAGTGCCATCAAGTTGGTTCCAACCCATAGCAGTCCTGTATAGGGTTTCCGAGGAGCAGCTGGTAAACTTGAACTGTCAACCTTGAAGTTCAAACGGCTTTGCAGTCTGGAGCATTAACCCACAGCGCCCCACCAGGCAGAGGTTGTAGGCTCCTTGAAACAGACTACATCCTTATACCACTGACAGAATGTGGGTAGTGTTTACACATAGGGGATAGTGGGGCTCAGATCATTGAAAAACATGCCTAAGACGGTTCCAAAGCCAAGTTTCTAGCTTCAAACCTAGCCAGAGCCTGACACACCACATGGTGCTACTATGCCTCTCCCTGACCACCTGGGATGGACAAGTCTTCCAGGAGTGACATGGACACTGGTCATTTTGTGAACTCGGGCTTCTAGTTTTATTACATCAGTGGGTATTTTATTACAATTAGATGGGCTAGAATCAGAACGCACCGCCCATAGTAAGGATCTAATGATTAGAAACATGTCTCATGTATGTTCATGGGCATATATGTATGTCCTTGGTCGTTATACAACAGACTGGGAGCAGGTGTTAAAATTTTGAAAACCACTATCCAAGCTGCCTTCCCCATTCCAATACCGCCCCCTCTATACTTTCATCACAGAAAACTGAGACCAAGAGGTGGAAAGGGGAAGGTCCAAAGCAACATGTTAGGGCTCCAGGAATCTTGTGCAGTGACAACACAAATTTACCAAGTGCCCCTGGTTCCCTTGGGGAGGGTGCTGATGGCTCCTCCTTCCCTTCCCAACATCCGGTGTCGTCATGGAGGACAGGGCCCACGGCCCCTGAGTTCTCCCCCACCGTCGGCACCACTCACCCAGGTTAAAGAGCAGAAAGAGGCCCTGGAAGGCGGCCTGACGCGGGTGCGGCACTGTTCCCCGAGCGTAGCAACGCCGCAGTGAGCCGAAGCTCTCCTGCACTTGGGTTTGCAGCAGTCCCCGGTCCGCGGGCCCGTGCATGGAGTCGGGCCCGAGCCGCGCCACCACGGCTAGCAGTGTGGCCAGCGCCGCCTCCAGCACCGCGGCCACCTCGGCGTCGTCCGCACTCTGCCAGGCTAGGTCTAGCCGCACTGCGCGCAGCCGATCTGCCACGAAACTAGCCACTTCGGCGCGGGACGCGTCGGCGCGCTCGGCCACCTCGCCAGCCAGGTAGCGCACGACAGTCAGCAGAACGCGCGGGGGTCGCAGCTGGCTCGGCGGGGGCCGGGGCTTGCCGGCGGCCGGCCGGCTGTACTCCTTCACCGCGCGTTGCGGGTCGGCTCGGGGCTGGTCCCCGCGGCACCCGGGCGCCACCTCGAAGCGGTGCAGGCGGCGCTCCCTTTCGCGCTGGGCACGCTCAGCCGCCGGACATAGGTCTGGGCACGTGCCCACTGGCAAGTCGAAGTCGGGCATGGGCGGGCTGCGAGGAGAGGGATGGCGATCAGCATCCCGGACGGCCAGCTCAGCATCCCGGGCGACAATCACTATCTCGGCCAGCGGCTCCCGGTTAGGCCCGCCTCCCGCTCGCGTCCCCACCCACCACCAGACGCTCACCGATCCCGTGATCACTCAAAGCGTTGAGACGGCCTCCCGAGATGCACTGCGTTGTAGTCCGTCCCTCTAACACTCCCCATGACGCACTGCACGCAACCTCTTGATTTCCCCTCCCCCTTAATGTTTTTAACTAGTAAGTGGCTTACTCCCATGATGCATCGGTTTGTAGTTTCTTCCGCAACCAATCGCTAAATAGGTGGTGAAGGACTGGGATCACGCCCTCCCGTTTTCCTTGGTTCCAACCCATTGAATATTTCCTTTGGTCTTACTTCAAGTCCATTTTGACTCTGCCAGTAGGGCGGAATACAACTGCTCCGTAGGGTTTTCGAGACTGTAAATTTCCATGAAGGCAAACAGCCTCATCTTTCTCCCACAGAGCTGCTGGTACATTTGGACTGCTGACTTTAACCCACAGCACCATTTGGATCTCCCCAAACTGAGTGCTCTTACTTTAGGTTCGTCTTTATCATTCTTTCCCCCTAAATATTTATTTAGGAAAACCTGCTGCAAAAGACCTCTTTAAAGTGTTAATAAGCAAAAACACCACTTTGAGGACTAAGGTGCTGTGCACAATGGTATTTTCAAACACCTCACTATATGCATGTAAAAACTGGACAATGAATAATGAAGACCAAAAATAATTGATGCCTTTGAATTATCATGTTGGTGAAGAATATTGGATATACTATGGACTCCCAGGTGAATAAGGAAGATCGTAGAAGAATTGATGCCTTTGAGTTGTGTTGGAGGAGAATACTGAAAGTGCCATGGACTGCCAAAAGAACCAATAGATCCGTTTTGGAAGAAGTGCAACCAGAGTGCTCCTCGGAGGCCAAGATGGCTAAGCTTCGTCTCTCATACTTTGGACATATTGTCCGGAGGAAACAGTCGCTGGAGAAGGATGTCATGCTGGGTAAGATGGAGGGCCAGAGAAAAAGAGGAAGACCCCTAACGAGATGGATTGGCCAGGTGGCATCATTGATGGACTCAAGTGTGGCAGCGGTAGTGAGGTTGGCCCAGGATCAGACATTGTTTCGTTCTGCTGTGCATGGGGTCGCTATGAGTCGGTTCCTACTCGATGGCACCTGACAACAACAACAACAACATGGACTGCCAGAAGAATGAACAAATCTATCCTTGAATGAAGCATAGCCAGTACATTCCTTAGAAGCAAGGCTGGCGAGACTTGTCTTTCATACTTTGGCCATATTATCAGGAGGGATCAATCCCTGTAGAAGTTGTAAAGGGTCAATGAAACCCAGGAAGACCCTCAAGATGGATCGACACTATGGGTGCAACAGTGAGCTCAGTAGTAACTACAATTGTGAGGATGGCACAGGACCAGGCTGTGTCTTGTTCGGTTGTGCATGGCTTGCTATGAGTCAGAACCAACCCAGTGGCACCTAACAACAACACTATCAGTCTAACTAGGTGCCTTGGCCACCAGTCTTCTGCCAGTTTGTCATTCTGTGGTGGCTTACACGTTGCTAGGATTCTGGAAGCTGTGCCACCCGTATTTTAAGTAGCAGCAGGGTCAAACATGGTGGACAGGTTTCACATGAGCTTCCAGACAAAGACAGACTAGGAGGGAGAGGTGGACTACTTCTGAATATTTAGTCACTGAAACCTTATGAATAACAGTGGAACACTGTCAGACAGCACCAGAATATTGAATATTGAAACATGATGACAAGCAACAGAATATTGTCAGATACAGTGCCAGAAGATGAGCCCCTCAGGTTGGAAGGCACTCAAAATACGACTGGGGAAGAGCTGCCTCCTCAAAGTAGAGTTGACCGTGATGACACGAATGGAATAAAGATTTCGGGACCTTCATTTGCTGACGGGAACAACTCAAAATGAAGAGAAAGCTGTAAGAATCGAAACATGAAATGTACAAAGTATAAATCTAGGAAAATTAGAAATTGTGAAAAATGAAATTGAATGCATAAAAATCGATATCCTATATATTAGTGAACGGACATGGACTGATAATGACACATGGTTTACAATGCCAGGAATGACAAAATTGAAGAGGAATGTTGTCGCATTCATCATCAAAAAGAACATTTCAAGATCTATCTTGAAGTACAGCACTGTCTGTGATAGGATTATATCCATACACCAACAAGGAAGACCAGTTAATAGCACGATTATTGCAATTTACACACCAACTACCAAAGTCAGTGATGATGAAATTGAAGAATTCTCTCAACTTCTTCAGTCTGAAATTGATCAAACATGCAATCAAGATATATTGATCATTACTGGTGATTGGAATGCAAAGGTTGGAAATAAAGAGGAAGGATCAGTAGTTGGAAAATATGGCCTTGGTGAGAGAAATGATGCTGGAGATCGCATGATAGAATTTTGCAAGACCAATGACTTCTTCATTGGAAATAGTTTTTTAAGACAACATAGATAAAATACACAGAAGTCAAATTGACTACATCTGTGGTAAAAGCTCCATATCATCAGCCAGAACAAGGGCAGGGGCAGACTGTGGAACACACCATCAATTGTTCATATGCAAGTTCAAGCTGAAGCTGAAGAAAATTAAAACAAGTCCACAAGAGCCAAAATATGTTGATGTTGAATATATCCCACCTGAATTTAGAGATCATCTCAAGAACATATTTGATGCATTTGACATAAAAGACCAAAGACCGGAAGGTTGTGAAATGATACCAAGAATATCATACAGGAAGGAAGCTAAAGGTCATTAAGAAGGCAAGAAAGAAGGAATAGACCAAAATGGTTGTCAGGAGAGACTCAGGAAACTTGCTTTCCAGCATAGATATGCTAAAGCAAATGGAGAAATGGGGAGGTCACAGAGTTAAATAGAACATTTCAAAGAGCAGCTTGAGAAGTCAAATGTCATAACAAAATGTGCAAAAACCTGGAGTTAGAAAATCAAAAGGGAAGAACACACTTAGCATTTCTCAAGCTGAGGGAACTAAAGAAAAAAATTCAGGATTCTATGGGCAAAATACTGAATGATGCAGAAAGCATCAAAAGAAGATATAAGGTATATATACACAGTTACTATACCAAAAAAACGGTCCATGTTCAACCAGTTCAAGAGGTGGCATATGATCAAGAGCCAATGATACTGAGGAAGAAGTCTAAGATGCCTTGAAGGCACTGAGAATTGATGGACTACAAATAAAAATCTTTCAACAAAGTGATGAAACACTGAGGCACTCATTCATCTATGTCAAGAAATTTGTAAGACAACTACCTGGCCAACTGGAAGAGATGCATATTTATGCCCATTTCAAAGAAATGTGACCCAACGTAATGAGGAAGTCATAAGACAGTATCATTCATATCTCATACAAGTAAAATTTTGCTCAAGATAATCCAAAAATGGCTGTAAATGTACATTTACAGAGAACTGCCAGAGGTTCAAGCAGCAAGTGAGATGAAGACATGAAACGAGAGGGATATCATTGCTGATGTCCGATGGATCTTGGCTGAAAGCAGAGAATACCAGAAAGATGTTTACCTGTGCTTTATTGACTATGCAAAGGCTTTCAATTGTGTGGATCATGACAAGCTATGGGCAACACTGCGAAGTATGAATATTCTGGAACACTTAATTGTGCTCATGAAGAACCCGTACATAGGCCAAGAGGCAGTTGTTCGAACAGAACAAGGGAACACTGAATGGTTTAAAATTAGCAAAGGTGTGTGCCATGGTTGTATTCTTTCCCCATACTTATTCAGTCTGTATGCAGAACATATAATCCAAGAAGCTGGATTATATACAGGTATTTATAATCAGGATAGAAAGGCAATTAATTCATTAACAACCTGCGATATACAGATGATACAACCTTACTTGCTGAAAGTGAAGAGAACTTAAAATACTTACTGATGAAGATCAAAGACCACAGCCTTTGGTATGGGGTGCACCTTAATGTAAAGAAAACAAAAATCCTCACCACTGAACCCGTAAACAACATCCATATAAATGGAGAAAAGATTGAAGTTGTCAAAGACTTCATTTTGCTAACATCAACCCTCATGGAAGCTGTACTAAAGAAATTAAATGCCATATTGCATTAGGCAAATCTGCTGCACAAGATCTCTATAATGGTGAGGAGCAAAGATGTCAGTTTGAAGACTAAGGTGTGCCTGACCCAAGCCATGTCGTTTTCAACAGTCTCATATGCATGCAAAAGTTGGACAGTGAATAAGGAAGATTGTAGACGAATGTATGCATTTGAGTTATGGTGTTGGAGGAGAATATTGAAAGTACCATGGGCTGCCAAAAGAACAAACCAATCTATGATGGAAGAAGTACAGCCAGAATGCTCTTGGGAAGCCAGGATGGCCAGAATTCGTCTCTTATACTTTGGAAATATTGTCAAGAGGGATCATCTCTGGAGAAGGATATCATGTTAGTAAAGTGGAGGGTTGAAGAAAAAGAGGAAGACCCCCAATGAGATGGATTGGCACAGTGGCAGCAGTGATGGGTTCAGATGTAGCAGTGATTGTGAGGCTGGTGTGGGACTGGGCAGTGTTTTGTTCTGTGGTGCAGAGGGTCACTATGAGTCAGTACCGACACCATGATACCTAACAACAACAAGGTCTCTCGGTGGTGTCCATCATTTGTTTGGACACTAAGAGAAGTCCTGGTGTGGCGCTGTGGGTTAATGCATCAGACTGCAAAGCTGTTTGAACTGCAGGGTTGGCAGTTCAAGCTCACCAGCTACTCCTTGGAAACCCTATACAGGGTCACTATGGGTCGGAATCGACTCAATGGCACTTCACAACAACAAAAACAACTTAAAGAAGACCCTCAACAAGATGGATTGGCACAGTGGCAGCAGCAATTGTCTTAAGTGCAACAAAGATTGTGAGGATGGTGCCAGATCTGGCAGTGTTTCCTTCTGTTATACGTAAAGTTGTTGAGTCGGAACAGACTCAACAGCATCTAACACCACCACCACTAACCTAAAGGTTGGCAAATTGAACCTACCCAGTGGTCCCAAAGAACAAAAGCTACTGTGAAGATGACAGTCAAGAAAACCTTGATGCAAGAAGTGACTGGCTTACAAGCTTTCAAGAGGGAGCCTAGATCCAGAGGGCGTGGAGGATGGTAGAATCTCCACTGAGTCATATGCAATCTGTCTGGGACGGGACTTATTAAAGGAGATGGGATGACACTTGTGTGGTACAATAGTGAATAATAACTATCAAGACTGATTGTGAGGGTTGGAAATGCAAAGGTAGACGTTTTGTAGCAAGGAGGGGAGTGATTGCCTTTGCAGTCTAGGAGCAGAGGCCCCTGGAACCATCATGGGAGACGAGTGGAGTGCGGGACCCTACCCAGAGAAGCAGTGACGCCAGAGATGGAGGCAGAGACGATGACATGGAGAGATGGAGCAGCTGGGAATTCTAAACCCAGAGGGACAGGGGCTGTGTGCTGATGACTAGGGGACAGGCTTGTAGTGTATATCCTTTGGTTGGTTGATGATGCATGGAGGAGATTGTAACCATGGCAATGAAACGATATACGATAAGATGAATGTAAAACTAATGTTCTCCCATGTAAACTATCACATAATTCACAATAAAACAGTTAAAAAAAAAAAAAAAAAAAGAAAGCCCTGTGGAGTAACTGTACTTCGTAACACATGGGGTCACCATGAATCCCAATGGATTCCTCCAAGTGGGTTGGTTTCAGGTTTATTTCCCTCACTGGCATTGTCTGTTCTTCTTGGGAACTATTCTAGATCAAGGGTCAGCAAACCATTTCTGTAAAATGCCGGAGAGTAAACATTTTAGATGTGTGCCTTCTACCAACTCTGTGGTAACAAAGGACAACACAGTAAACAAATGCCATATACACAGGAGTCCTGGTGTGGAGCTGTAGGGTAAGCACTGGGCTGCAAGGTCAGGTTGAACAACAAGATCAGTGGTTCAAACCCACCACTCCGATACTCTATACAGGGTCACTACGAGTCAGAACCGACCCAATGGCACTTCACAACAACAACATACACACTTAGATTTCATGTCATTTCTACCTGTCATGAAATATTAGTCTTTTGAGTTTTTTTCAACCATTAAAAAAAAATAGAGAAAACTTTCTTAGCTCATGAGTCTTACAAAATCAACAAATAAATAAGGTGATGGTGGGGTCTGGCCTCAAGCTGTGGTTTGCAGACACTGGATCCAGATGCCTAACCTGTAAACTCGCAGTTCACCTCCTAGAGCTGCTTGTCACATATGAGATAGGAACAGGTGGGACCAGACGTGTGAATCCCTGATTTCAAAGTGGCAGATACAGTCAGAGAGCTGAGCATGGATTATCTTTCTCATTCTTGGACCAGTTACAGACAGAAATGGCCCTGGGAATTACAGGACCAGGGGGTAGGGCCTGGTCCCGGGAGAAGAGGAGAAGATGGTTGGCAGTGCTGAAGCTGGAATCCTGGGAAGGGTCCACTCCTTATCAAGGTGGGAGCTGGGACAGGTGCAGTCTTAAGATCTCTTCTGCTCGCTTCAGGTATTCAGCTGCCTTTTTCTTTACACCTTCCTGGCGAGCAGGGGATGGGTCACCTGTGGAAAGAGAATGTCTCAGCCTAGGTACCTGGGTGCAGCCCTTTACAACTCCTGATCTGAAGCTTCACGCTTCACAGACTATCATCGTGTGCCTCTTCCCCTTCCCTGGGAGTTGGTATCTATTCTCCCATTTCACACATGAGAAAACTGAGGCCACATGAGGAAAGAGACTGCCCCAAGCCACCCAGTTGGTCAGTGAGGAGCAGGGGCTCCTGATTCCTGAGTCCCTTCCTTAATGCACCACCTAGAACCCCAGATGACCCCTTCCCACAATAGCCACTCACCGGGGACCCCCTGGAGCAGGATATGCACGCCATCTCGGTAGCCCTGCAGAGCTGCAGGGTAGGCACCTGCCTTCTCATCCCGCAGAGCCTGGGTGATAAGTGTCGTGGCCTGGCTCAGGTAGGCAGGGGTGGGACTTCCTTCCTCATCCTTGTCCTGCCCTCCTGGCTCCCAGGGGTCCTGGTCCAGCCTTCCAGGTTCTCCTTCCATCACTGACAGCTCACTTAAGTGGCGGGGGCTGGGGCCTGCTTCTTCTGTAACCAGACACGGAGGACTTAGGTCAAGCTGGTCTATCCTCTCCCCAAGGCCTGCTGCCCACCTCCAGACTCCTCTTACCAACCAACAACCTGGAGTCTGCTAAGGCAATAGAGAGGGCGGTGCCTGGGGATCCAAAAGCTACCGGTGTATAGTGAACTGTTGTTCACTGCCACCGAGCTAGCCCGATTCAGAGAAAGCCATGTGCAGAACTGCTCCAAATGGTTTCCTTGGCTGTAATCTTTGAGGAAGGAGCTCCGCCAGGTCTTTTCTTCCTCAGAGCCACTGAGGTCAACCTTTCAGTTCTTAGCTGATCGCCACCCAAGCTCCTTGTATAGCAAACTAGCAATGATCGATTTGATTGATGGGGTTCCTGTGCTTTCATAAAGGCAGCTTTTCCTTCCTTAAGTCTTTCTTTAGGGACACATGAACATTATTTTGCATAGTCTCCATCACTGGGCCTACTCCCTTCTGTTTCAGAATTTTCTCCATGAAGTTTAGCCATGGGATGCCGGACTCTCTATGGCATTGCGAGTGTAGAAGTGCTCCAAACCTTGAAATCGTGGGAAATTGGGTTAAGAGCGGGCTTTTTTTTTTAGGCTTTCAGCTGAGGTCCGAGATGAGAAGACAATGGGTGAGAGGTAGTAAGAAGCAGAGTGAAGACACACTCCCCAAATCCAGAGGGCCACCCCTGCCCATACTCCAGCCCCCACACGCCTGATGCACCTGGTACCTCCAGCTCCTTCAGGCCCCTCCTCTCATTCTGGAGGCACCTGGGGTAGAACCACCTGGTTCTAACCCTCAGCAAGGTTGCTGGTGCCTGCAGGGTACCCTTCTCACTAATGTACACAGACACGCAGGCCCCCCTACAGGCCTTCTGCCTCAGCTAGGCTCCTGCTGTCCCAGATTGTTACCTTCCTTGGAGAAGGGGTCGAAGAGGGCCAGCTCAGCCTCGGTGAGTGGACCATGGGCAGGGTTGCTGGTGGCCTCCTCGGTGCTCCCACAGGTAAAGAGGAGATCCAGGGCCTCCTGGGCAGGGCTGGATGGTGGGGGTTCCGCTGAGGAACAAAGCAGTGGGGGCATGAACACCTGACTCCTCCTTACATCACCCCCTATGGCTCCATTTTCAGCCAGCCAATAGACAGGTCTATGTGGGGAACAGCAACACTAGGGAGGTCTGAACTCCTCGGAATCATCAACCATTTGAGATCAAAAAGGCAACTTCGCCCAAGGACAAGTTCAGAAGGCTACTGTTAAGTCTCATTGAGTAGGTTCCGACTCACAGCAAACCTGTATAGGTTTTCCAAGGAGTGGCTGGTGGGTTTGAACCACTGACCTTCCAGTGCTTATACTACAGTGCTACACCAGGACTCCAGTCAGAAGGGTTCGGAATGGAAACAGGAAACACAAGAGGAAGTGGGATGTGACGTTGTATTGTGGGGATTATAATCAGTGACATAAAACAAAATGTATACGAATTGTTGAATGGAAAACAGATTTGCTGTGCAAACTTTGACCCAATTCACAATAACAAGTAAAAAAAACCCACAACACAAATCACACTTTCACTAATTCTTAACAGCAACTCTGACAGTTTGTGCCCATTTCACAGAGCCTAGAGAAGGCAATGACCAGCCCAGAGTTTCTCAACAGGTCATGGGTGAAGCTGAGACACACCTGGGCTTTCTGTCAAGGTCACTGACAGGAGGCAGGGGGTGGGGGTGGGGGGTGTCCCTCCACTTGGATCCCTCCCTGCACCATTGAAGCACCTGGCACCTCCAGCTCCTCAAGGCCCCTCCTCTCTGCAGGAAGTGGCTGGAGCATCCGGGACTCCTCAGAGGGCAATGTGGGGATCAGGGGTGGTGGCAGAATGTGCAGGTCCCTGGACACCTCGGAGAGCCGTGTCACCTCCCCGCCCTGCAGGGTAGAAAGACCAGCAGTGGGAGGAGTCCCAGGTGCAGCCTGGTGGGTAGGCGGGTGGTGTGGAGTCCCAGGTCCTGGGAGGCGGAGATGGTGCGCCACATACCCGGAAGAACTCCTTGAGCTGGGGGCTGTTGTTGAGCGCTGGGATGTGCACGGTGAATCGGAGCAGTTCCTCAGCCCCCTTTCGCCGCTCCTCGATTACGGAGGCTTCAAACCGGCCTGTAGCCCCGACAGAGGGGAAGGAGATGCAGTGATGAGCCTTAGGTGCTTCTTGGCTCAGTCTGAGGACCCCAAAAACCAACTGCCCACTCCCCATCCTCCAGTAATCCCCTTGGCTCTTCCCTCACCCTGCTCCTCCCATCTGCCTTAGCACCAAACCCTGTGGGCTCCACTCAGCCAGGTCTCATCCGTCCATCCACGGGGATCCTCCCCCATGGCCATAGCAGGGGTCCAAGTCCCTAGCACCCACTCCTGCCTGGACCCCCAGCATGGCCTTCAAGTCTTCAACCCAGTCCCCTCCTGTCTGCCCTTCATGTGGAAGTGTACTCTAAAAACAGGTCAAGCTCACTGCCATCAAATTGCCTGGGATTCACAGTAAATCCTTTCTTGCATTTATGCAAATCTGAGCTTGTGCCATGTCCTCAAATCCTCCCAAAGCCTCTCTTGGTTCGAAGGACAAAGACAGTCCTTAACTATGCCATCGACACGGTGGATGTGACCCTGCATGCTTCCTTTACTGTTTATAAAGAAACTACTACGTACTTTCTGAGGGTGGATGAACGAGAAGCAAGGCCCTGTCTGTTTTCACAGAGCTCACTGTCCACACAGGGAGGGGCAGGCAGGTGTGAAACTCATAGGAAACAAAGTAATTTCAGATGGCTTTGATGTCATGGGAAGGAAGAAAGGCACAGAGAGGGGCAGTGACTTGTCCAAGGCCACACAGTAAGTAGTGCTCCCCCCTTCACCCAGCCCCCCCAGGATCACTGCTCTATTCTAGCAGAATCCTCTAACTTAGGCCAAGACAGAACATCTGAGGTGAGTCTGGAAACCCAAGTGACCGATCAGCACCCATCACTGTCCAACAGAATGCAGTCAAACCTGTATAAGGTGGACACCAGACAGCAAGGCAAACTCACATATTTTCTGTCAGTTTGTCATACCGTGGTGGATTGTGCGTTGGTTAAGTAGAGGGTCAGCGAAAAAGGGGAAGACCCTAACAGATGAACTGACTTAACAGGCTTCAACACAGCAATGATTGTGAGGAGGGGCGGGACTGCGCAGTGTTTCATTCTCTTACATGCAGTGTTGCTATGAGTTGGAAACCAACTCAATGCACCTAACAGCAAAGAGCAATGGGGAAATGTTCTGATGGCACCCTGGAATAGGTAGAGAACTTGTGAGGCCCAGAAACCCAGTGAAACCAGGTCTTGTACGCTTTCTGCCTTTGACAGGGTGCATGCAGTCTTACCACTTTTTGATGGCTCTCTGTGCTTGGATAATATTTATGCTTTCCGTCTCTGACAGGTTTCTGCCTTACATCGGTACCAGCTTTTGCAGATTTTACTATTTATTTTATTTAACCCAGTATATATCCAAAATATGATCATTTTGACATGTAACTGATATAAAATTATTAATGAGAAGCAAAAGTGTTTTTTTTTAATTTTTGTTGTTAAGTGCCATCGAGTCGGTTCGGACTCATAGAGGCCCTGTATAGGGTTTCCAAGGATAACACATCTCAATTTGGATGCCCATTCTGGACAATGCAAATAGAAATCACCATTTTGTGGGTAATAATTTGGGTTCTGCCACTTACAGGCTCAATTCCCTTCATCTTGAAAATGGGATTAATAAGAGTGGGGGTATTAAAGTGCCTGAGACACAGTAAGAGCTCTGCAGTGCCGAGCCTTGGTTTCCCACCTGAAAAAAGGGGTCCTTTCCAAGGCCCCATTCCCTCATTCATTTACCAGATGTTTATTGCTCTCTGAAATGTGTCTCTGTCCCTAGCAAACCAACCCCTACCAGCAAAGGTCCCCTTTACCCAACCCTCTCTTCCTCTGACTTAAGGGTCCAGCTCCAATGCTCACCAAACACCTGTGCACGAGGGAAAGATGGGAACTCCTCCAGGCGGCGGAAGAGGTTGCGGTGGGTATAGGCCAGATCTCCATGTAGCTTACGGAAGTCACTGTACCGCTTCCAGACCACCACCTGAGAAGGACACAAGTCATGACCTGGACTAGTAGGGTGGGAGCCTCCACCCCCACCCCCAGCCTGACCTCAGGATCTGGGGACCTGAACACAGCACCCCTGCTCCCCCGAGCAGGGGAGAAGGAGAGCTGGTCTCCTCCCGAGTTACCAGCTGCTTCTTGACCGGCTTCCTCTTCCTCCCAGCAGCCTTACCTCTTTGACATCCTCCGGGTCCTTTTTTGAGATGAACTGGGGAAGAGACACAAGTAGTAGGTGAGACCAGGGACTGGCCTTGAACACCCCATACCTCTGTGTCAGCTAAAGAGTTCCAACACTTCCAAGCCCCCTTCTAAAGGGCACTGCCCTTTGATCACTGGTATCAGAGTGTCCTGGCTTCAAGGCCTTAAGTCTCACTTTGAGTAATATTTCTACCATGCACCTCAGTTTTCTCATTTGTCAAATGTTGTCACTGTTAGGTGCCACCTAGTCAATTCTGACTCAGAGCGACCCTGTATAGGGTTTCCAAGGAGTGAGTTTGAACTGCCAACCTTGTGGTTCAAACCAACCTTGAGCTCAAGTGCTTACCCTCTCCAGACAATTTCATCTACAGTTAGTTCCTGGGAACTTTTGCCTCAGTTCCTTCAAAGGGCCAAGTCCCTGGATCTCTTTCTGAAACTAAAGAACCTCACGTGTCCTAAAGTATGAAGCTCTCTCCAGAAGTGACTACCTCCTTAGAGGAGCATGCCCTGTACACAAACACTGTGGACACACAGGAAACCATCAGTGGGCTGTGACCCCTGGAGGGGCAGACTTGGATCTGCGTGGAAAGAGGACTCGGTTTTCATTATGTTACATTCATAATAATTGAAAAATAACATCCTACTGCTTTGAGCGCTTGTCAATTTCCAAAACATCTTCCTTTCATTACCCTACAAGCCAGTGAGGCAGACATGATTGTCACACCCAGAGACAAGAGGAAATGGAGTTCAGAGAGGGAATAGGAACTGCACAGAACACACACCAAATCAAGAAATGAAAACCTTGGCCTCTGCCTTTCACAATAGAGACTTGTCTAAAACATTCTGGGTGAAAGAAACTATATTTAAAGACCACTGAAGAATATGCTAAACAAAGAACTTATCCCCATAATATATAAAGAACGGCTGTGTTGTTACGTGCTTTCAAGTCAGTTCCGACTCATAGCAACCCTGTATAGGGTTTCCAAGAATGGCTGGTGGGTTTGAACTGCCAACCTTATAGTTAGCAGTCCAATGCTTATCCTACAGCGACATACCAGGGCTCGTAAAAGAACGTCTACAAATTAATTTTTAAAATATAAACAACCCAGCTTTTAAAACTGTGCAAAATACTTCAACAGGTAACTCCCACAAAAGAAGTGTGAATGGTCAATAGGATCATGAAAATCAATGCCATTGTTATTGTTAGGGGCTGCCGAGTCAATTTCGACATATGGTAACCCTATGCACAACAGAGGAGTCCTGGTGTGGCGCTGTGGGTTAATGCGCCAGACTGCAAAGCCGTTTGAACTGCAAGATCAGCGGTTCAAGCTCACCAGCTGCTCCTTGGAAACTCTATACAGGGTTGCTATGGGTTAGAATCGACTTGATGGCATTTCACAACAACATGCACAACAGAACGAAACATCGCCTGGTCCTGCGCCATCCTCACAGTTGTTAAGCATGAGCCCACTGCTGCTGCCACTGTGCCAATCCATCTCACTGGGGGTGTCTTCCTTTTTCTTCCACTTTACCAAGCATGAAGTCCTCCAGGGACTGGTCCCTCCTGATCAAATGTCCAAAATATGAGAGCTGAAGTGTCGCCATCCTGGCTTCTAATTAGCATTCTGGCTGTACTTCTTCCAACACAGATTTGTGTGTTCTTCTGGCAGCCCGTGGGACTTTTAATATTCTTGTACATCATCATAATTCAAGGCATCAATACAACAGGTTTCCTTATTCACCGTCCAAATTTCACATGCATATGAAGTGACTGAAAATACTATGGCTTGGATCAGGTACACTTTAGTCCTCAAACTGATATCTTTGCTCTTAAACACTTTAAAGAGGTCTTATGATGCACATTTGCCTAATGCAATCTGTCATTTGATTTCTTGGCTGCTGCTTGCATGATTCAAGCAAAATGAAGTCTTTGACAACTTTACTCTTTTCTCTATTTATCGTGTTATTTATTGGTCTAGTTGTGAGGACTTTGTTTGCTCTAGCCTGAGGTACAACCCATACAAAAAGCTGTAATCTATGACCTTTAGCAGGTATCTAAGACTTCTTCACTTTCAGCAACTAAAGTTGCATCATCTGCATATGGCGAGTTGTTAATGAGTCTTCCTCCAATCCTGATGCCCTGTTCTGTGTCATATAATCCCGTTTTCAGATTATTTACTCAGCAAACAGACTGAATAAGTATGGTGAAAGAATATAACTGTGGCACGCAGCTTTCCTGATTTTAAGCCATTCAGGGTCCCCTTATTCTGCTCGAATGACTGCTTCTTGGATTATGTACAGGTTCTTCATGAGCACAATGAAGTGTTTGGGAATATCCATTTTTTACAATGCTGTCCATAGCTTGTCATGATCCACACAGTCAAAAGTTTTGGCATGGTCAATGAAACACAAGCAAACATCTTTCTGGTATAATCTGCTTTCAGTCAAGATCCATCTGACATGTCTCATCCATAGCCTCTCCTGACTCTGGCTTGAATTTCTAGCACTTCTGTCAATGTACTGTTGCAGTCGTTTTTAAATTATCTTCAGCAAAATTTTATTTGCATGTGATATTAATGTATTAATATTGTTCTATGATTTCTGCATTCCATAGGGTTACCTCTCTTTGGAATACGCACAAATATGGATCTCTTCCAATTGGTTGGCCAAACATCTTAGCATATACGAATAAGTGCCTTCCAGAGCTGAGTCAGTTTGTTGAAAGATTTCCATTTATAGTCCATCAGTTCCTGGAGTCTTGTTTTTCACACATGCCATCCGTGCAGCTTGGACTTCTTCCTTCAATACCATTAATTCTTGATAATATGTTACCTCTTGAAATTATCAATATCCTTAGTCATTGAGAAATGGAAATGAATATCCCAGTGAGATACTACAAACCCACTAATAATGACTAAAGTTACAGATACTGACAGTATCAAGTGTTGGTGAGAACAAGAAATAGAAAGCTAGCAGCTAAGCAGTTTCTACTAAAGCTACACATAGGCTTCTCCTATAACCCAGCAATTCCACTCCTAGGTATCTATACCAAGGAGAAATTAGTGTTATGTCCAAGAAAAGGACTCAGATCATACAACTTTATTCATAAGAACCCAAAGCACTTTATCAGCAACCCAAATGGCTAATAACAGAAGAATGAATATAGAATTTATAGACTATTCATACAATGGAATACTATGTAGCAATAAAATAAGAACAAGCCATTTATATGAGCAAAAACATGGAGGAATTCCCAAAATCTTTATATTAAGTGAAAAAAAGAGACAAAGGTGGTATGTGCTGTATTATCCATTCATCTGAGGTTCCAGAACATGCAAAACTCATCTATGAAGACAGGATGGTGTTCCCTCTGTGGGAGGGGGGCTTCTGGCTGCAGAGTAGCAGGGGAGCTTTCTTGGATAACAGAGTCAATATTTTGATTGATGAGTGATGGTTGTTGCATAGATGTATACATATGGGGGGAGGGCTTCAAAAAGTTCTATTATCTTATAATTTCACTTTTCCGTGAACTTTTGGAAACCCCTAGTATGTAAAATTCATTGAACTATCCATTTCAGATTTGTGCATATTATTTTTTGTAATTTATTTTCTCAATCAAAAATAAAATTTTTGAAAGCAAAACAACACAAATACTAAACCCCAAAGAATACTGAAGAATACATGCAAGTGAAAACGCAGTTCAAACCCACCAGCTGCTCCTTGGAAACCCTATACAGGGTTGCTATGATTCAGAACTGACATGATAACACTTAACAATTCAAAGGAACCTGGTGGCTCTGGAGGATAAGCACTGGACTGCCAACCACAAAACAGGAGGTTGATGTCCACCAACCACTCAGGGAGAAAGATGAGGCTTTCTGCCCCCACAATGACTTATGTTTAGAAACCCTGTGTTGCTTTGCTTTGGAACCCACTCAATGGCACTTACAAACAATTCAAAACACTAAAAGGTACAAAAAATAAACAATGCAAAGTTGTCCCTTCAACCCCTAACTCCAATCACTTTATTACTCTCCCTGGAGGCCCGAATTGTTACCAGTTTCTTTCAAGAGGCTTTGGGATACTGTTTCTACTTCACATTCTTTTCAGGATACCTTCCATGCTTTTTTTTTTTTATGAATGGAAACCTTTATTTGTGAAATAAGGCAACAGATGTTGAGGCTCCCTATCATGGTGCATGTGGCTCTTACAAAGGCTATTTCAGTTGGCTTTTGTGTAGGTTACTTCAGTTGATGCATATTTTTAATTCATATCAAATTTTTCTATGAATTTCTAATAAGCAACATTTTCAATAAAAACATGTATATTCAATTAACAAATTGGACATATAAGACATTTTTACTATTGAAGTAATAGTAGATGGACAGATGTCTAGGAATGCTATGATAACAGGGGAAGAATTTTTTATATATTCCAAATAAACATTTTTATAGAAATAATGATGCTTCATTATTTTAAGTCTATTGGTTTCATTAAGGAGCTCTGGTAGTGTAGTGGTTACGAATCAGGCTGTGAACCACAACATAAGTAGTTTGAAACCACCAGCTGTCCCACGGGAGAAAGATGAGGCTTTCTGCTCCCGTAAAGATTTATAGCCTTGGAAACCCTGTACAGGGTCACTAAGAGTTGGAACCGACTCCGTGGCACATAACAACAATAATTGGCTTCATTATCCAAGCTGTTATGCAATCTACACATATAAAAACATATTTACACATAATCTATATTATTCTATTGAACAATATTTTGAAGTTGTAGTTCAAATTTTAATGACCATTTGTACTTCAACTTCAAACATTCTAAGATAATCTAAAATGTTGGAGATATTCAGTTCTATTTGTGGTTTATTGTTGTTAAGTGCGGTCAAGTCGATTCCAACCTATAGCAACTATGTATAGAGTTTTCGAGGAGCAACTGGTGCGCTTGAACTGCCGACTTTGCAGTTCAAATGGCTTTGCAGTCTGGCGCATTAACCCACAGTGCCACACCAGGACTCCCTTATTGTGGTAGCAAAGGGAAAAAAAGGAAAAATATATTTTGCATATAAAATTTCAGACAACAAGCTAAGCCCTCTAGTTATGTTCATTATTTTTTTCTTATTTATACAGCATTTATTTACCTTCCCTCTGTCAAACCCTGAGCCAATTACTTTCCCAAGGCTGCCTGGGAAGGTACAAGGAAAGGAATATGTAGGGCAGACAAAAAAGAACTTGGGAAATGGAGACAACTCCTTCACATGGCGAAGAGGATGAGAAAGGCCACCATCAGACAAAAGAGCCCGTGGCCTCCAAGAGGGCAAAGCCCAGAATGGCGTAGGAGAGGAGCTGCTGCTTCAGAGAAGGGTTCCTGGCATAACTAATGATACGGCTCACAAACACAGTTCCAATCCCAGCTCCAGAGCCAGCCACTCCAACTGTGGCAGCCCCAGCCCCGATGAACTTGGCTGCGATGTCAATGTCCCTTGAAATCGTGTGCTGGTTTGGAAACTTCTAATAGAAGTAAGTGAGGTCAGGGAACGTGGGGCTGTCAAGTGGCTGGAGTGCTTATCTGTCAGTGTCTGGGGTTGTTTCAGCACCACTGCAGACAATGGTCGGTTCAGAAGCTGAGAGGTGCTCCTGACCAGGGAAGGGGCGCAGACGAATTTGATGCGGGTGAACATTTTCAGGGGATGAGGGGCGGTGGCAGGAAAACTGCTCCAAGTGCAGAGAAGAGAGGGCATGTTCATTATTTTTCATGAACAAATATCAGCTATGTAAAATTACCTTCCATGCTTTTATGTAAGGTCTTATCATATTGTGATTTGTTGTTGTTAAGTGCCGTAGAGTCGATTCCGACCCATAGCGACCCTGTATAGGGTTGTTTATATTAAGTGTCTTTAAGTCTGTTGCGACTCACAGCGACCCTGTATAGGGTTTGCAAGGAGCAGTTGGTGAGTTTGAACCACCGACCTTGTGGTTCAAACCCATCTTACATCAAGTGTTTATCCTATAGCACAAAGCAGAACCTTTTATTACTGCTTCAGATACCAACTTTCGCCTTCATCGACTTCCTGCTACGAGCGCTGAAGACAGTTAAATCTTTTTGAATTGTGGGTTTTTCAAACACTGACAAATAATTATTTTAGAAAAAAACAAACAAAACACAAAACTCTTCAAAGGATTTTTAAGTAACTGAAGTGTGGCGCTGTAAGATAAACACTCGACTGTAAGGTAGGTTTGAACTGCAAGGTTCAAACTCACCAGCCGCTCCTCGGAAACACTATATAGGTATATAGGGACGCTATGAGTCGGAACCAACTCCACGGCACTTACCAACAACTAACCAATGCACAAAACACCCAAGAAGAGATTGGAAAACGATTGAGTTTTAAGACTAAACCAGAGTATTTACGCTAATTTCGAGATATTTACATCCTGTAATGCTGACACCACATGGGTGTGGGCACCCACATCTCTAGTGTCCAGAGCTGCAGTCCACGCCCTTTTAAAAAGGACAGCGTCCTCGTTTGGCCCGCCTCCTCAAGGCTGAGAAAATATACAGTAAGATTCGTCCGCCTCCAAAATGGGAGATTCCTTCCTCGTCTTGCTTTAAAGTACAGCACGACCTCCCTTTTGTTAAAGGGGTAAAGGTATCCTCTGGGCCCCACCTCACCTGTGCGGTCACTTTGTACTCGGTGTAGCCCTTGGGGTGGGTCCGGTGGTCCGAGACCGTGTAGTGCCGCAAAAATTCGTCCTTCACTTGGCGGGACATGGCAGCCAAGCCGGAGTGGAGCTGCCCGCTGCTCTCCTCCTTCTCCACGCCGCCCCCTCCCCTCCGGGCCTGCCTCCGCCAGCCGCCGCCTGGCCCGGGCCTGCGCCCTTCATCCTCCGACTCAGGGAACTAGTTCCAAGTGCCTGTGCGGCTAACTCCCGGGCGCTCGGCCAAGGGAGCGTCTCAAAAGTTATCGGTCGTTGGTAAAGCGTAAACCTAGTAATTTGAGAGTCGGGATTGGGGAGTTTCTGATCGCTCGTCTGCCCAGTGATAGACCGTCCTATCAGAATAGAGGCCCTCAACATCGACCTCCAAACGATGTCACACGCTTCCCAATTCTCTTTCTTCTTCCATCTGTCTGACTAATTTGTTGGTTCACTCCTGGAGACCCCTTGTGTGTCAGAAGTAGATCTGTGCTTCACAGTGTTTTCAAATAGATTGCCGGATCCCAAAGGGGCCTGTCTCCTTGCCCCAGAGCCCTTGAATCTTGTGTGAGGTACAGGGTGTACAGTGCCCTGGCAAGAGGACCCATTTCTTCTTGGAGAAGTTTTGGCCTTGGCCATCTGATCTCCATGGGGGTACTGGGAATACCCAGTTATCCTTCCAAGAAATCCTTTCTGCTGATGGTGGCTGGAATTTGGTGTGTGGTTGGCCACGAAATGCCCTGATAGTACCATCCGTATGGTAGTTGTGAGACATAAATGCAATGGCGTGAGGGAAGTGTTCCAGTTACAGGAGGTCTTATTATGGGGACTTAGGTGAAGGCCTCTGAAACATGAACAAGCAGACTCCGGAATCAGATTCTCGGGAGACCTGACGTGGCTGGCCACCTTGGAGGTGTTCAGGAGGTGGTTGCACACAACACATACCAGGAGGCATGACTCCTGCTCTTAAGATCTTGGTAAGAGTAGGGGTCCCAGTCTTCCATCTCTCCCTCTTGCTCTGTTCCCTGGCCCAGCATCTTCTATATCCTTTCTGTCCCTCCTTGTTTCTCTCCATCTTCTCCAAGCTCTTTCCCTTCCTGATGGATTTGGCCTCTGGCCTTTTCCAGGTCTCCAACTCCATTAGTCCCATGGCTTCCAGGAGCAATGGATACAATACAAGGCCCTACACAGAAGGAGCTCTGGTAGGGTAGTGGTTACGAATCGGGCTGCAAACTACAAGGTCAGCAGTTCGAAACTACCAGCTGTTGGCGGGAGAAAGATGAGGCATTATGCTCCCGCTAAGATTTACAGCCTTGGAAACCCTGTACAGGGTCACTATGAGTCGGAACCGACTCCATGGCACACAGCCACCACCACACAGAAGGCAGGGGAGAGCTGAAGGCTGCCAATGGAGGGGCCTGTTTCCAAACTCACAGTGTGGGTGCCACAGTGCACATTTTGGGAAATGAGTATATTTTCTCATTTGTCTGTAACAATGTGTAAGTCACTTCTTAAATCAAGATTGATGCTAAGGGTCCCCAGGGAGGCCTGACAGCTGGTATGACTCAGGGGATCCAGTTGCTTGAATTTGTCCTGGTTTGAATTGTGTCCCCCCAAATTGTGTGTTGAATACCTGGTCCCTGTACCTATGGATGAGGTACTGTTTGTAAATAGGGCTTTCCTTTGGCTATGTCATTGAGGTCATAGTTATGTTAACCTCATACATTGCCAGAATGCCCTTTGGAAGGGAAGCTAGTGAGACTTCATCTCATGCACTTTGGGCATGTTATCAGGAAAGATCAATTCCTGGAGAAGGACATCATGCTTAGTCAAGTAGAGGGTCAGCAAAAAATGCAAGACCCTTAACAAGATGAATTGGCATGGTGGCTACAACTATGTGCTCAAATATAATGATTTTGAGGATGACGTAGGACCAAGCAGTGCATATGGTTGCTATGAGTTAGGGCTAACTCAGGGGCACCTACAACGTGTTAATGAGATCATACCAGGCTAGGTTAGATCATAAACCTAGTACCAACATATTATTACATGGTCAGAATAGACAGACACACATATAGATATGTGTAGATGCTATTTAAGGACTGCACACAGGCCAAGGAACTCAAGGAACCAAGGAGTGCCCAGGGCTACTGACAAGAAATCAACAGCATTGAGACCCTAGTTTTGACTTTTAGCCTCCAGAACTGTGAGAAAATACAATTCTGTTCTTTAAACAAGCACCCACTCGTGACATATGTGTTGCAGCAGCACTAGGGACTAGGACAACTTGTTTGCCCTCGAACTGACCAACGGCCATAATGAGAGCCAACAGCTACACAGTGCTTCTGCCATACCAGACACCTGCCCATTAAACTGAGGCACAGCATCCCCCAATGAGCAGAAGAGCTGGGTTTGATGCCAGAGCTTTGGTGTGTTCCCTCACCTCAGGCATGGGACCTACAGACCCTGATATGCGTCTTGTACAGAAAACACAGGGCAGGGGTTTCTAATTCTATACACTGGAGGAGAATTTGCATATGTTCTAAGGCCATGTCATTCTTGGTTGTCCACCAACATCATTTTTCCTCCTTCCACCCTAACAGAGCCCAGACTTCATGATCCTACTGCCAGTTTCGAAGTAAATCTTGAATTACCCAAACCAACCATGATACTGGAATGGAGCAATTGGCTCAGGGTGGCCGTGACTCGAATTCTGGCTTAAGGAGACAAGGGGGGAGATGGAGTGAAAAATCACAGCCAATTCTAGACATTGGGGAAGACATGGAGCTGAAGACTGAGGCTACTAGGGAAGGCTGGGTGGCTGAAGATAAGCTAGCCACGTTGGAGACGGCAGAGGCGGAGGAAAGAACCCGGGTCCTTGGCAATGTCTGTGCACTGCTTTCTGAACCAACTTGGAGCTGCCTCACTTCGAGAGCTGTTGCCACTGTTAACCGTTTGCTGTGAGAGTTGAGCACATCCCAACTGATATAAACCTCCAACACTGTCTAATAGGAATGTGCTGCTTCTGTAAACTGGGCTGAGGCAGCAAGGGGTACAAGCGAGGCTCCAGGCTCTTCCAGGCTCCGCCTTCCAGTGTTTCTCCGGGAGCTGCTTTGGACCATACTCTACCTGCTAACCCTTGGACTAAGACTAGACTGTGGACCCCCAGGGGCTCGCTAAGAAGCTGCTGGATCAACAAATAACTCAGGCACAAGTGGGGAGCAAGGAGTGGTTTATTCTCACAGCTGAGCAGAGGACGAGGCCCACAGCCTCGGTAGCAGCGGAGGCAGCCCCCTCCCAGGCCCAGCTGCTCTTTTTCGGTGTGACAGCTGAGGGAGGGCCGGATCAGAAGTCCAGGGCAGCAGCCCAGGCTGGTCCTGGAGCAGCAGTGGTGGGCAGCGGTAGCAGCGGCGGGTTACAGAGGGGGTTAGGAGTGTTATGTTAGTCCGGCTGGCTGAGGCCCATTCCCCCATGGATGGTGCTTGGCCAGGGAAGACCCCAACTGGGAGGTGGGCACCCGGCGGCTCAGTCGGTTGTGAAGATGCGGCTGGAAATGTCGTCCAGTAGCCAGTCGATGCCTGGCAGCAGGTTCTCCCCAGTGACCGCGCTGCAGCTCTGGATGCACCAATGGTGGCTGCGGATGGAGTCCAGCTCCAGGGCCTGGGAGGGCAGAAGGGGCGGGGTGAGGCAACACTGTGACCACAGGCCCTTACCACTCCACAGCCAGGGGACATCAGGTCTCCCTCAAAGCGCTGCTCAAGGCAGCATCCCCAGTCCCAGGGCAACAGGGCTCCTGTACACAACCACGCCCACAAGGCCCCTTAGTCAAAGAGCAGCAATGGCTCAGGCACCGTGCTGGGCCCTACACGTCCTCGCATCCACTCCTCTCAAGGGCCAATGAGACAGGGATAGTATCAGCTATTTTATAGAGCAGGGAACCAAGGCTCAGAGAGGTTAAGGAATCTGCCTGAAGTCACTGAGCCAATATTCTAACCCTATTCTGTCATTCTGGAATCCAAGACCTGGAATGATGGTTAAAAATATAGACTCTGGGGCCAGGTAAGTCTGGTTTGACTTGTCTACTTACTAGCTGTGCGACCTTGGGTAAGTTACCTAACCTCTGAGTCTGGTCTCCCTCTATAAAATGTTACCAGTTCCTACCTCATCAGGAGGACACTACTCATCTGTCAGTTTGTCAGACTGTGGTGGCCTGCATGTTGCTGTGATGCTAGAAGTTATGCCACTGGTATTTTAAGCACTAGCAGGGTCACCCATGGTGGACAGGTTTCAGCTGAGCTTCCAGACTGACAGGTTACAAGGAGGAAATGCAGACTGTTTCTGGATGTTAAGCCAATGAAAACCTTATGAATATTAGCAGACCATTTTTAGATGCAGTGCTAGAAGATGAAAGTATTACGAATAGCACCAGAATATTGTCAGATATAGTGTCAGAAGATGAACGCCTCACATTGGAAGGCACTCAATATACAACTGGGAAAGAGCTGTCTTTTCAAAATAGAGTTGATTGTGATGACGAGAATGGAATAAAGCTTTTTTTTTGCTAATGGGGCACAACACAAAATGAGGAGAAACAGCTGCACACATCCATTAAGAACCAGAACATGGAATGTACAAAATTATGAATCGAGGAAAATTGGAAGTTGTCAAAAATGAAATGAAACACAGAAAGCTTGATATCCTAGGCATTAATTAGTGAGCTGAAATGGACTGGTATTGGCCATTTGCAATCAGACAGTCACATAGTTTACCATGTCAGGAACAACAAATTGAAGAGGAATGGCATTGCATCCATCATTAAAAAGATCGTTTCAAGATCTCTCTTGAAATACAACGCTCTCTGTGATAGGTTAATATCTATATGCCTACAAGGAAGACCAGTTAATACCACTGATATTCAAATTTACACACCAACCACTAGCCAGTGATGATGAAATTTAAGAATTCTATCAACTTCTTTGATAGCGTGCTGAATGGCACAGTGGGCTAATGTGCTGGATTGCAAGGTGGTTTGAACCTCAAGGTTAGCAGTTCAAGCTCACTAGCTGCTCCTGGGAAATCCTATACAGGGTCGCTATGGGTTGGAACTGACTTGACGGCACTTAACAACTTCTTTAGTCTGAAACTGATCAAGCATGCAAACAAGATGTATTGATAATTACTGGTGATTGGGATGTGAAAGTTGGAAACAAAGAGGAAGGATCAGGAACTGGAAAATATGGCCTTGGTGACAGAAATGATGCTGGAGATCGCATGATAGAATTTTGCAAGACCAATGGTGGGCAGGTTTCAGCTGAGCTTCCAGACTAAGACAGACTAGGAATAAGGAGAGGCGGA